TTAGAATGGTCTCGACATATTCATGCAAGTGTGGCGCTTTTCCCTATGGAATCACTTTTTCAAAGTCAAAAGCATGAAGCAACAGATATTTTTCAAAAATCAAATCTCATTTGCAGAGAATCCTTTCATGAATGAGGTAAAATCACGGGTCTATTCATTTTTATCATTTTCTTCATCTCTCTTTACTCTTCTTCAAATGGCTCTTTTGGAATTCCAGTTTCAAAAACCCACCTATAGAACCCTAGCCATTTTTCATGGCCTATAAATACATCTCTAACTTTCCAGCCGATTTCAGGGGTGAACACTCTTAGACGCGGCCTAAAATCAAATGCATACTGTGCGCCGCTTGAATACTATCATTTTTACTCTCACTGCTGATATTATCTCTCAAAACTCTAAGAATTTCTTTTAGCCACGATAGAGGTGTTCGGAACCATTCGGCTCGAGGTTCGGATCTATTCATGACGAGAGAGTAGATTCGAGATCGACGACCCCCGCTCACTGCTCACAAAAAGCAAATGGAGTCTTAATTCGAGACTCTCGCATTGGAGCCTCATAGAGACTTAATGCTATCACCACCATATGAGGTCATTGCATACCATCTTCCTTAGAGCACCGGATAATGATAAAAACAAGCGAAACGCTTGGAGACGCCTATGAAGTCTTTCATTTCTTTTCCTTTATCATTCATGCTATTTGACCTTTACTTCTGTGATTTGAGTTTATCTCAAATTTCTGGGATTATATGTTAAAAATTCGTGTTAACATAGTATGTTTAATTATGTAGAATCTCTACTTTTATTGTCGATTTGGTACTATCTTAATCACATAAATGTAGCCCGTAATATAAGAACTTAGAATCAGTTTTTGAAGTGACGCTTCAAAACATTTTCACCAAAATATTTTCTAATGGCCTTGTGTTAAACTTTCGTAAGTACATGATTTTTAAGTCCAGCTGATTTCTAAAGTATCTATATGAAAACTATTTTTATAAGTCCTAACCTTTGAAGAACGATTTTAAGTTTGGTTTGTCAAGGCACTGTGGGGTTTTCCTAGAAGTTAAGTCCAAACTGTTTATTGTTTGAGTTTCAAATGCATGAAAGTAATTTTCTTTCTCAATTATGAATGTATATGATACAATTCTGAAAGTAAAAATTGCACGGAGCGCCCTATTTGGTCGCCCCCATTTAACCTATACCGATTTTTTTAAAACATTTAACTTGTACCCACTTTTAAAATAACTTCAGCCCCATTTCTCCTCCTCCTTCTCCTCCTTCGTTTTCTTCTTCTCAACAAAAATTTCATGCTCATCTCCTCCATTTGTCTTAGCCTATCTATTTGATCGTTATCAATCAACTTCTTTTATTAGTCTTCATGTCCTCTCAAAACTTCTATATATAAAACCATAATCCATTTAAAAACAAAAAGAAAACTCAAAATATCAATCCTTAAAATTATTACATATACTTCACCATGAAGCCTACATATACTTTTCTTTTGGTAATAATTCTGATACTCATGATCTTTCCAATTATTTCAAATGGTGAAACAAGAATTCAGTGCAGCAAAGTAGTAGGTGTAGTTAGACCTTGCGTGGTGTTCTTTAGGGGAGGGAGTGGGGTAACTGGGATGCCTCCAGCTGCTTGTTGTGCTGGAATTTCAACTCTTTCAAAGATAGCCGCTAAGAACATTAAGCAAGCTGTTTGCAGATGTGTTCAGTCCGCAATCAAAAATCTCAGAGCTGCAGATGCTAACTTCAGCTCTAGAGCTGAAGTTCGCCAGTTACAAAAACAAAAACTTCAGCTCTAGAGCTGAAGTTCGCCAGTTACAAAACAAAAACTTCAGCTCTAGCCAGTTACAAAACAAAAACTTTAGCTCTAGAGCTGAAGTTCGCCAGTTACAAAATAAAAACTTCAGCTCTAGAGCTGAACTTCAGGCCCGGCTAGTAGAATGCTGAAGTTTTGCGTTATTGCCTTTGCTACTTCAGCCCCATATGCTGAAGTTATGCGAAAAAGCGGGTACGCTTGCAATTATTTTTGAAAAGCGGGCACAAGTTAAAACGTGACACAAAAAGCGGGTATAGATGCAAATGCCCCATTCTGAAAGGACTCATTTCTTTCTTCATAATGTTACTACACATGTATTTTTCAAATTCAATTGACAAACATTTTTTAATACACACACATGTTGCTACATAACTTTTAAAATCAATTAATCTAAGTTTGGTCGGTTAACCGTAATTAACGGATCACATAGGGTGTTTTTACAACCTTCCCTATAGGATTAATTAGAACCCTTACTCATAATCTTAAAGATAAGCAGACCATAAAAAAAGGTTTAGTTTAAGCATTATTTATCTAAAATTAGTGTCCTAATTCACCGTTAAAATAATTAGCTGGCGACTCTTTAATTAATTAAACCTCGATCTTTTTAATATGTTATACTCTAGTTTGACTCGTGTTAAAATGGGGTATAACATCAGTTACTATGATTCCAAAAATATGATACGGATCTAATACTTCAATCAAAACAGAAATTGGAGCTCATTTGCTTAATGTGGTACCATTTATGCTTGAAGAAACGACGTCAAAACATAAAAAACGAGCGCAACACAATCCAATTCTATCTGAAACTCACCTGAGCCCCTCGAGACCCCGTCCAAATATACTAAAAAGTCCCATAACATAACACAGACTTGCTTGAGGACTCAAATCGCGCATAACAATATCAAAACCAGGAATCCCACCTCAAATCGAACTTAATAAACTTTGGAACTTTCAACTTTCAAAACTCGTGCCGAACCATATCAAATCAACTCGGAATGACCTCAAATTTTTAACACAAGTCCCACATGACATAAATAAGCCATTCCAATTCCCAGAACTACAATCTGAACCCGATAACATCAAAGTCAACTTCCGATCAAACTTATGAATATTCCACACCTTCCTTTTTTGGTAATTAAACTTTTGCATTAATCACCAATGTAACATTTACAAATCTGAGTAGACCATCTCAGTCTGCTCTACAAGATAAAAAAAGTATCCTACAAAAACTCTCTACATTTCTATGCCTTGCTAAACACATTCTAGTGACTAATATTTACAAATGTTGAGCAACACTCGCGTATAGCCTTCAGCTCTGAAGTTGCATATGCAAGCTACTCTCCTATCTAGGACCTCCCATGCAGTAGTTTGCTTCTCAAAGATCCGTGAATTTCTCTCAATCCACAGTGCGTGAATATACTCTGCATAGACTAGCTTAAGAACTCTTGCCAGCTGAGATCTGCTCATAGTTTTCATAACTATCCATTGGTGATTTGCTACCCATGAGTCTATAGGAGGGTACTGAATTTGCAGATAGTTCATGAGCATGTGCCATAGGCATTTACCATATCCACATTCAACAAACAAATGATCTCGTGTCTCTGATTTTTGATGGCAGAAACAGCAAGTGTCACCTATCTGCATTCCCCATTTCTTCAACCTATCAGTTGTTAACATTCTTCCTTGCACCTGAAGCCACATGGTGAAGATGGATTTTGGTGTTTCTTGGTTTTGACACATCAATCCTTTCCATGGAACTTTTGGAAATACACCTAGTAGTTGCAGGTACACTTATTTTATGACTGTACTCTGTGACAAATTGCTAATAAGGTGTAACATGTCCCTTGCCTCAAACACCTTTCGAACCATCCAGCAGATTGCTTTGGTACTCCTATATGCATAAACTCTTGCTCTTTGATATAGTAGCTATGGATCCATCTAATCCATAACTTGTCCTTCTTGTTAGCCAAATCCCAGCAAGTCGTAGTGATAGCAGCTTTGTTCCACATGGCCAAGTTAATCATGTTAAATCCTCCAGCAGCTCTTGGAGAACACATCCTATCCATGCCACCAAAGACTTTTTGGTTTTGTGTTCACCCCAGACCATATATAGCTTCTACAATGTGCTTCGATTGCTTTAATGACTTTAGCTGGTACAATAAAGGTTTGAGCCCAGTAGGCTTGGATGCCAAAGATTACTGTTTGGACTAGCTATATTTTGCCTGCACAAGACAGTTTCTTTGTTTTCCATGAAGAAATTCTGCTCACAATTTTGTCAATGAGAGGTTGCCATTGCAATATTGAGAGCTTCTTAGTATCAAGAGGTATGCCTAGATATTTGAATGGAAACACTCCTTGACTGTACCCTAGAGCTTATTATCTCATACTTCAGTTCATTGCTAACTCCTCCATAATATATTGAGCATTTGGCTAGATTTGCTTTAAGCCCAAAAGCTTCTAAAAAGGTGTTGAACTTTTGATGCAATAGGACAACAGAAGTAGTATCTCTTTCTTGTGAAAAGGAGAAGGTCATCAGCAAAGCTCAAATGAGTTAGTTCCAATCTAGAGCACATAGGATGATAGTGGAAAGTTTTTTCATGCTTAAGTGTCATTAGGTTCCTGCTTAGATACTCCATTACTATGGCAGAGAGAAATAGAGACACAGGATCTCCTTGCCTAAGCCCTCTAGCTGCATCAAATGGATTAGTTTTCTCCCCATTTATGAGAATGGTATAATTCACTGTTGACACACACTCTATGATCCAGTTGGTAAATTGAAATGGAAATCCCAAACATTCAAAAACTTGATGCAAGTACCTCTAGTCGACTATATCATAGGCTTTCTGAATGTCCACTTTAATGAGGCATCTTAGAGAAATATTCTTCCTAGAGTAAGCCTTGACTAACTCATGGGCTAGTAGAACATTATCTGCTACTTTCCTGCCAGGAATGAAGCCAACTTGGGAGTCTAACACAATTGAAGCAATAACTTTTTGCAGCCTATTTTCAAGAATTTTGGCAATTAATTTGTACAGGACAGTGCAACAAACTATAGGTCTATACTCCTTGATACTTCTAGGGTGAGGAACCTTAGGAATCAGGGTGATAGCTGTGCAATTAATTTCTCTAAAAAGCTTGCTTGAATGAAAGAAATCCTTCACTACATGACACAGTTCAAGTTCTTTTGAAAAATAGTGCATTATAGCCATCAACACCTGGTGCTTTATCATCTCCAATTGCACACAGAGCTTCAAATATTTCTTGGTCAGTGACCACAGCATACAGGCTCACTTGCTGGTAATGTGTGAAGACAGGTCCCAATTTCATTCTCTCTTTGTTCATTGCAGGCAAGTGATCTAATCTTGATCCCATAAGGGATTTGTAGAAGGCAATTGTTTCTTGTTGGAACTCCTTCTGGTCAGTGAGTCTATCTCCAAAGGCATTAGTAAGTTTTGCAATAACTTTTTTATGACTTCTTTCCTTCATGACAACTGAGAAATATTTGGTGTTAGAATCACCAAGCTTTATCCACTTAGCTCTGGATTTTTGCTGAAGGATGTTTTCCTCTATTAGTGACCATCTTTTCAGCTCTTCAAGTAACTTTTTCTCCTCTAATGCTACTGCATCAGAGTAGCCTCTGTTTAGCTGCTCTTTAGTATCCTGCAACCTGTATCTGAGATGCTCTATCTTAGTTGTTACTCCTCTGAACTCATTGTTATTAAGTTGCTTCAATTCTAATCTAAGAGCCTTCAACTTGTACCGGATATCTTTCATGGTGTCTAAGTGTAGTTGTGTTTGCCAAACTCCCTCAACCACTAATAAGATATCTTCATGATCAGCCCAAACATTAAAGAACTTAAATGGGATCTTGCCACTGGATTCAACCCTCCTTAAAGTAATGATCATAGGTGCATGATCTGAGATAAAAGGCATTTTATAGTCCACCTCCATATGACCAAAAGTATTCATCCATTCATCATTTTCAATAGCTCTATCAATCCTGCTGAAAACTCTATTTGCACCTTGTTGTTTATTAGACCATGTATAGTATTCCCATTTCCAAGGTAATTCACATAAGTTCAAACATTGCATATAGTCTGTTAAGTCTTGAATCTCATTATTAGTTACTGGGTTCCCGTGTATTCTGCCTTATATATTTAACACTGAGTTATAATCTCCGCAAATGAGCCAAGGCTTGGTGATCTGTACTGCAAGGTTTTGCAATTGCACCCATAAAGGCTTTCTCGGCTCAATTGTGTTAAACCCATAAATGACTGTCATGAGAAGGTTCATTTGATTCTTCCTTCCTCTAACATCACAATGCATGGATTGAGCAGATTGTTCTATCACTGTTATATCATAGTAGGAAGGATCCCATAATATCCAGACTCTTCCATTAGCAGCATGTTCATAATTAAATCTTGATTGCCAACCTGGAACTACGCTTTTAGCAATGCCATCTACCTTATGTTATTTTACTCTAGTTTCTACTAAACCAACTAATTTAATATTATTCTCTTTAATATAGGTACCCAACTCTTTTTGCTTATAACGTTTGTTGGTACCTCTAATGATTCATACCAACCAATACATCAAGTAGGTTTGGATGTACCACCTACAGATGGCAGTGACAAAGTAGCCATCACTGCTACATTTATCTGTTGACTAGACCTTTGCTTACCAGGAGTGACGACCCGGCCGGTCGTCTTAAGAATTAATGCCCCGATCCCCTATTAACGGCTTCCCCCGAGTTTATCTCTGCTATTTTGATTTGCCGGTATGTTCGGTTTTAAGTTTTGGAGAGTTTTGGGACACTTAGTCCCTAAATGAGAGCTTAAATGTTTGAAAGTTGACCGTAGTCGAAACAGTGTGAAGACGGACCCGGAATGGAAATTTGATGGTTCCGTTAGCTCCATTAGGTGATTTTGGTCTTAGGGGCGTGTTCGGATTGTGTTTCGGAAGTCCGTAGCTAATTTAGGCTCGAAATGCCAAAAGTTGAATTTTTGAAGTTCCCGGTTCGATAGTGAGATTTTGATCTGAGAGTCGGAATGGAATTTCGAGAGTTGCAGTAGTTTCTTCATGTCATTTAGGATGTGTGTGCAAAATTTCAGGTCATTTGGAGGTGGTTTGGTTTGGTTTTTGATCAAAAGCGGAATTCGGAAGATTTTAGAAACTTAGGCTTGAATCCGATGTGTTTTGGGGAATTTGATATTGTTTGAAGTGTTTTGAAGATTGGTACAAGTTTGAATAAGGTTTTAGGATGTGTTGATGCCTTTGATTAAGGTCCCGGGGGCCTCGGGTGTGTTTCGGATGCTCAACGGATCATTTTAAGTTGTTAAAAAGTTGCAGAGTTTGTTTAGCTATTGCAGAGGAATTTTACCCTTCGCGTTCGCGAGTGGACCCTCGCGTTCGCGAAGAGTCAACTGAGGGAGGAAAATATTAAGCCTTCGTGTTCGTGACGGGAGCTCCGGGTTCGCGAAGGGCTGGATACTTGTGAACCGCGTTCCCGAATGGGCTTCGCGTTCGTGAAGGAGGAAATTTGGCTCAGTAGAATTTACTCATCGCGTTCGCGATGAGAGGAACGCGTTCGCCAAGGTTAGGCGGGTAAAGCATCGCGTTCGCGTGGGCCATGTTGCGTTCACGTAAGAGGACTTTTGGTCAACGTCATTTTTGTGCTTCACGAACGCGATGCTTTGACCGCGTTCGCGAAGAAGGAATTAAATATCTGGGCAGAATCTTTTAAATGGGTTATTTCGCGAATTTTAGCCTAGTTTTCTCCATTGTTAGGCGATTTTGAAGCTTTTTGAAGAGGGTTGAAGAGGGATTCAAGGGGAATCACTTGGAGGTAACATTTTTGACTTCATAACTCGTTTTTATGTGATTAAATACCTAATAGTGGTGAAAAATTTGGGAGAAATGGGTAATTAGGGCTTGAGTTTAGGAGACCCAAAAAGGGGTATTTGAGGGGTCAATTGAACTTCGATTATGCATATAGTCGTGAGAGTATGAGGATTCCGACAATATACATTTTACCCGATTTCGAGATTTAGGCCTGAGGGGCGTTTTGGTCATTTTGCATAATTTCGCGTATTAGCTTAGAATTTAATTGTAGAATCAGTTACTTGAAGTGTTATTTACATTATGAAATTGAATTGAATAGATTTGGGCCATTTGGAGTCGAGTACTCATGGCAAAGACGTGGTGTCGGGTTGATTTTGAGCGGGTTCGAGGTAAGTGGCTTGTCTAACCTTGTGTGGGGGACCTTCCCCTTAGGTTTGATATATTTGGTAATTGAAATGCCTTGTACGTGAGGTGACGAGTGCGTGCTTGTGCAAATTGTTGGAAATCCGGTTTTCTTTAAGTACTTATTAGTATGTTTCTTCCATGCTGTTATTACTCGTACTATTAAGCCTGTTGTTAGCTTAGGAAAGCATGTCTAAGTGATTTAATTGCTTTAATTGCTCAATCTGTTTACCTGAACTCTGTGCAGCATGCTAGGCTAGAATTATTTGTTGCCTTAATATGAAATTTTCCTTCTCTGAATATTTTTCTTGATGCTGCTATGTATTTACATTGGGACTATGGATGTGGGATTCTGGTAGCTCCCCTTGTCTGTTTACTTTGGGACTATGGGTTAGATTCCCGGTAGATCCCCCTGCATATTTACTTTGGGACTACGGGTTAGATTCACGGTAGATACCCCTGCACAGTTATATGGAACTACGGGAATGCACCCGGTAGATTCCCCCAGTACTGGGTATTTCTGTTTGGGGACTACGGATCGGGATTCCGGTAGATCCCCCGCGCATTGATAGTTGGACTACGGGACGGGATCCCGGGAGATCCTTCGGACACATATATGATGGACTACGGGACGGTGTCTCGGGAGATCCACTGGCTAGTTGTAGTTGGGACTATAGGACGGTATCCTGGAAGGTGCCCCGGTTGTTATCACTGGCTAGTTGTAATTCGGACTATAGGACGGTATCCTGGAAGGTGCCCCGGTTGTTATCTCTGTGTTGAGTTGTATTTCTTTCGTGGTTTGTTTGTCTCTGTTCTAGTTGTTGTTGTTCTTTCAATTCTATGTTATTTCTTACTGTTGCACTTATTTATACTATTTTATTTCACACTAGTAACCCTTATATTTTATTTAACCTCAGTAGGGCCCTGACCTTCCTCGTCACTACCCGACCGAGGTTAGGCTTGGCACTTACTGAGTACCGCTGTGGTGTACTCATGCCCCTTCTAAGCATGTTTTTCATGTGCAGATCTAGGTACCTTCGCTCGGTCTTATCATCCTTGAGGCGAGGCGCTTCTGTAGAGACTTCAAGGTATATCTGCCGCGTCCGCAGACCAAGGATTCCCTTTCTATTCTCGCTTTTAAGTATTAGCCAATCTGTATTTCTTATCTTTGTTAGACAATCTGGAGTTAGACACTGTTAGATATTCAAAGGCTTGTGGTTTCATGAGATTCCGGGTTCTGGGATAGTGTACTTGGTTTGAGAATGTTGTGTTGTATATGCCGAGTGGCATTATAACTATTGGTTCCATTCAGTTATTTTGGTTTTGATTATTCCTTCCGCAAGTTTAGTTTATTTTCCGCACTCGTTAGGCTTACCTAGTCGTAGAGACTAGGTACCGTCACGACAGTTCACGGAGGGAGAACTGGGGTCGTGACAAGTTGGTATCAGAGCTCTAGGTTCATAGGATTCATGAATCACAAGCCGGTTTATTAGATTCTTTCTGATCGGTACGGAGACGTCTGTACTTATCTACGAGAGGCTATGTAACCGTTAGGAAATTCCACTTCATTTGATTTCCTAGTCGTGCGAGATTTTGACGTCACAATCCTAAACCTTTGTCTTCCATTCTCTCACAGATGGTGAGAACACGTGCTACCAGAGATGATCAGATACCCGCGCCCCCTGCGAGAGTTGTCAGAGGTTGGGGCCGTGGTAGAGGCCGAGGATACGCACGCGGTGCAGCCAGAGCACCCGCGCGAGCTGCCACCGAGGAGCCACCAGTAGTTCCAGCCAGAGCCCAGGCATCGGATACGCCTACTGCTACTACTACTCCAGCACTTCAGGAGACTCTGGCACAGTTCCTGAGCATGTTTTGTACATTAGTTCAGGCGGGACTGATTCAGGTTGTACCAGCCACCTCACAGATCAGGGAAGGGATCCAAACTTCCGCGACCCCCACTCTAGAGCAGCGAGTTCCCATTGGTCAGGTTCCAGGTGTCATGGCGACACAGCCTGTGATCCCAGTCCAGCGGGTGCTGAGGACCTCTCGCCGAGTAGAGGACATGTGGGTCCAGGAGAGAGAGGACAGACGAGGTCAGGAGAGAGAGTATAGGGAAGTGAGGAGACCTCGTAGACTGGAGAGACCCGCTGGTCCTTATTTTGGAGGAAGAGTTCAGCATGGTAGAGGTTTTATGGGTCAGCCAGCTCAGTTTGCATCTCAGATTTCACGCAGTGTTTCAGGAGTTCAGGGGTCTTGGAGTACCCGTACCGTAAAGTTCCCACTGCCACGTCCTCCCAGAGCTTGTTTTGAGTGTGGTGACACACGCCATGTGGTGAGGGATTGCCCTAGACTTGGGAGGAGTGCACCTCCACAGACTTCTCAGCCACGGCGCGCTCTGCTGAGTTCTCAGGCTATGGTTACAGCCCCAGTTGCTACCCCACCTGCTCAGCCAGCTAGAGGGGAAGGCCAGGCCAGATACTATGCCCTTCCTGCCCGTACCGAGACTGTTGCCTCCGATTCTGTTATCACAGGTATAGTCATGGTTTTTCATAGAGATGCATCAGTTTTATTCGATCCAGGATCCACTTATTCTTATGTGTCTTCTTATTTTGCCCCGCATTTGGGCGTATCTCGGGATTCTTCGAATTCCCCTATTTATGTTTCTACTCCTATGAGAGATTCTCTTGTTGTGGACCGCGTTTATCGGTCATGTTTGTTATTCTTCGTGGTTTTGAGACCAGATCCATTTATTGTTGCTCAGCATGGTAGATTTCGACATTATCTTGGGCATGGACTAGTTGTCTCCCCATTATGCTATTCTTGATTGTCATGCCAAAACGGTGATGCTG